GCGAAGAATTAGGACCTCTGGATGAAAACTCTCGATCGAGAACCCAAAGGGGTGTGCAGAGGGGGTAAGCCACCCCTACACCTGTAGTACATACCAGGTTTTGGCTAGTCTCGTACCTTTTTATGACAGGCCTCGGTCAGGTTTTTCAGGGCAAGCGACCCACGTCTACGGCTCTGCATACCCTAGAAGAAGACTTATTTTAACGAGAACACTGTTCTCCGATTCGAAAAGAAAGAGGCCCATGGCCGAAATCTCATTGACCTGCAGCTGAACACTCCGTGTCCTAATGACAAAGACATTCTTTTTACTCTCCGTTGCGTTTAGTGGCGAGATTTTTGGTATTTCGTTCTTGATATTGACGACCAACGATTGCATATTTCAACCGCTTCCCTTTCTTTTTGTGGAATAGTTATCTTACTCTGCCATTCCATTTTGGTACACAAAATCACCCCTGCTTTAACGTTACGAACTCTTTTCGAAGGCCCGTCAAAAGACAGTCCGTGTCACTCTAGCCGTTGCAGATATAAAATCTGTTATTTTGCTCAAATTTGGCTTCCTGTCGTTTTGAGCAATCCGATCCACGGTCTCCGTCCACTTATGTTACAGAGAATACGGCAACTTTCTCACTCTTTTCTCCAATGTAGTAAGAGAATGAAGATCAGCCGTGTAACCCATTTGTTCCAGGGTGATCATGCAGCTTTCCATTCGAATGGCTAGACATGACAATACATCAGCGTCCACGCTATTCACGCTGAGACCCTCCAGCAATCCATCTAAAATTGAGCGCGCTACCTCGTGTAAGCACCCAAATAGATCTTTGAGAATCGTGCATGCTCTATCGTACCCAACCACGGGTGGCAACATGATGCAATCTTCAGTTGCGCTCCTAGCCTTCCCCTTACAGTAATGAAGCAGATATAACAAGCGTTGCCCATCGTCATTAGTCATGTAGGCAACGAATATTTGAAACTGCCAAATGAGCCTCCAGTACACTGTGGGTCGCCCATCGAAAGAAAGAAGCTCTACTTTGGGTAGGTCTAGATTTGCAGTAATGCGGCCTGACGTGGACGTGGTCGTCTTATGTTCTCTCTCTAGCTCACTGAACCCTGTTGTCCTGGGAGCATAAGGATCACTCGCCTCCCTAGCGTCCCGTACTGAATGATATTCAATAAACTGCATCACTCGATGTTTTCCGTCCTCAATCACGGATGGACAACTTATCATCCATTTTTTCTGCGAGCCTCTAATTTTTGTCGTACTGCTAGCAGTTCACTTTTAGGCCTTTCTTGGAGGTCTTTCATCTGCTACTCCACTTTCTCTCGCAGATGGCGTTCCTTCATTTCAATTAAAGAAACGCTAAGCTTTGACTTATCGCTCAGCCGACTAGACCCACTAACTTTGGCGCCATGAACAGAAAAAATATGCAAAGGGACTTGCCGAGATTCTCCAGTATTGTCGTCGGATCCCGCTGTTCGCCATCAACGTCCTTGTTCGTCATATTTATTCTCCGAATGTCGGGCATATCGGAGTACTGTAACGACCAAAATGCAATTGTCCTGGTCCAAGCAAAACGAAAAGGACCTCGTCTGTATGCGTTCAATCAAATAATCCTTCGCTCGTTCTGGACAGCGATAACCAGACCTCAGAGCAACGCGTAGCCAAATAAGTGAGAACCAATTCGATCAAAAATAATCTATGGTACTATTTTTGCATTAATCACAAATAAATAAGGCAGTCATACCTCTGATAGTGAGCCTGATTCACTATCCAGCCGAAATGTAAAAAATATTCACAGAAAATATCTGCGGTAATAAAAAGTAAATAAGAAAGTGAATTACTTGAATTAGCTAACAGATAAGTTTGGACCAATAAGAAAATTCTGNAAATTCTGCACGCTTCAACAGATCACGCAAAATAATCTTGAGCGTTACAGCCAAAAGGGGTTACATATAGCCGAAAGCAACGGTTAGTTCAACAAAGGGCGTCCAATCAAAACTTTGGTCGCAATAAAACAAGAAAAAGCACTGAATCCCATTTACATATAAGAGCAAAGTACATGAAGTGTGTGTCCAACAGATATGCTTTACCATGAAAAAGGTGAAATAGAAGGTTCAGAAGAGAAAATTCACCGGCATGAAAACCACTGTCGGAAAGAATGCATGATAGAATAACGGAGAAAGATAAGGAACTCCAAGGTGATTGAGAGGAGTTTCCAGTCTTTTTGACTGTTACACTCAATGCGCTGAAGAGCCACATGCTTTCAGGCGACGCACGTCCTCCAATCTTCGTCACCAACCCTCTTGGGATTCCGGAAACCTTATCGTCAAAGAACAGTACGACAGATTCTGGGGGTTAGAGAAACATGCCTGTTCACCTCGTCTGCAGCATGCGATGCAGCATCTGTAAATATCCGTAAAGCATTATTCTGTTTTAAAACCGCCATAGCAAACAGAAGCGCCGAAGTCTTCGTCCCGTTATATGCAGCCTTCGGTCGACCACACCTTAGATACTGTGTTCAAGTGTGGGCCCCATTTCTCCGTGAACATATACGGAGACTGGAGCGAGTCCAAAAGCTCGCTATCAAAACGGTATGGGGAATGAAGCAGCTGAGCTGCAGAGAAAGGCTCTTAGAACTAAACCCTTTCTCCCTCGAAAGAAGCAGACTACGAGGAGATTTGATTGAGATGTTCAAAATATCTAGGAACCTCAGCAGTTCTCCAATGGGTCACATGTTCCGCCTGACGGAAGACAGAGGTTTCCGTGGGCATCCACACACTCTGGGGAGGTCAAGAAGCCGACTAAAAATCAGGCACCACTTCCTCTCAAATAGGGTAGTCCCAACCTGGAATCGTCTTCCGGCAACAGTAGTGTTGTAGTGAACATCCACACCCCATTCTACATACACCCTTCCTCCGGTGCATCTCATTGTTTTATCACACCAAGGCCACCTCTTTGGTCAGCACGTGTTTGCTGTCACTTTCCGCACGCTTGCTCAGGCTTCCGTATCCCTCTTGCTCTGCAAATCGTAACAATACAGGCCGTCCTCCGTTTCGTGAATCGCCTCGTTCTGTTTTTGCACAAACGTACGCTTGCAACCTATACGTATTAGCTCGAGGTATCAATAACCTAGTGCCCACGGTGTCATGTCAATCGGTCCAGACCTTTAAGCGTTAGTTAGACCCAAGAAAAAGAGACTGCACCATCTCTCTTTCCTTTCTCTAATTTTAGATAACCCCGGAACGGTAAAATCGGTAACAAAACAAACTCACAGGCGAGTCAGTCCCAAAACAGAACACGTCACTACCAGGAAACTTCACAGGCGAATGCCCCCTCACGCACTGAAGTTTGAAATTTGAAGGTTACTGCCGCGGATCAGGGACGCCAATGCGGTTTACTGTCGATGAATGCAGTAACAGCTGATCAGTCACAGATTAGCCAGGAGGTTTGAGTACCCCTTCAGACAAAAGTAGAGAACCCGCAGGCATGCGGATATTAGTTAAAATAAGAGAAGACAAGTGTCCTATTGCTGGGCGAATGAGGTAGTGAGTGAGATTGTGGTGGGAGGTGAAATCAGACTAAGTAAGGATGAAAGGTTGTTAAAACAGATGGAGATGAAGCAGTTAATAATAAAAGAGGTGAGGGGGACGGTTTTGGGGAAAGTTACCACCAAGGACTGACTATTCTTTACTAAGGCTGATTCGGGGAAGTTTACCTCCAACAATTCATCAAGCTTTGTTTTGAACAGGTTAAACGTGGACGCTGAGGCAACCCCATTTGTCAGTCTATTCCAAGCGTTGACCACTCTATGACCACTCTGTAAGAGAAGAAGTTATCCCTTTTTCTCTTTACTCACGAGGTTTCTCCAGCTTAAACTGGTGTCCGCCTAGCGCTAGGTTTTTGCTGAGGGAGGAGAAACGCCTGATAGGCTGCGAAAGTTCCTTCAGTACCTAGAAGACTTTAATTGGCCCCACCTCATTCGTCTGTGTGACAGAGAGAACAAGGTTAGTTCTCTAAAGCACCTCGAGTATGACATCGTCCCGAGGGCAGCAAAAAACAAGTCAAACGTCCCTGAACGTTTTCTAGAGACATTTGGTCGCGCATGAGGTTCGATGTCCATACCTGCAGGCAGTATTATAGGCGTATTTATCGATCTGTGAAAATCCTTTTTGTAATACCCAGACAAAATACCTTTTATCCAATTTCTTCAATTTCATGTTTCACTCACTCAACATCATTCGCCTCATATATACATACACATTTGACGTTCCACCTCCTTTGTGCATTTACGCGTCAATTCCATTATTTGATTTTTTTGTTTGTGCTTCGCCCGGACCATATTTGTTTTTATCATTACGTGACCGCTCATATTTGACTCTTTGGAGTGCAGCGTGACGATGAGCGTGTTATTCCTATTTAGACTTATTTGTTTCGCTCAGAATCCTTGAAATCCACTCAGGACAACACTTGGCTCTTGCTTTCAAGTTGTTCTGAGATTACTTCAAGGTTTTAACATGATTTATTTGCTAATTTGATCGTTCATTAATGCGGTGCCGTGGAATATTGCCGGATCATTCGTTTTGTTGATGTTTTGGGATCTAACCTTGTCTACACGTTACTCGTTGATCTTTCCGAGAGAAACATCAGGAGTGTTCGCGGCGGTACGCTTGCAACCTATACGTATTATCTCTGGGTATTAATAACCTACTGCATACAAATGGCTGAGCTCTCATTTTGTTGTATTTACGTTCGAAATGTTTTTCGGAGAAAGTATAATTTCTCTAGGTCACATTTCTGATGAATTTTCCGCAAATTCATTTTCGCGAAGCTGCTCCCGTTCATATAATTTTGGATAACATTTATCTCTACCTTACGGCCTAACGCTCATTTTCTATTGAATGTTTTTCCATTTTTGCTTTTCCAACGTATTTTTTATTATAGGTTCTATACGGTCATATGTTTGTAACCCGTTCGACAGTCGCATATTATATCTACGCTTAATTATGACTAGCCCCGATCGTAAGTACTCCACAGACAGCGAAGCACTCTGGTCCCAAATCCGGGCCTCCAAGTTCATGGCAGAGGACCCGGAGGCGTTTCTTGCACTTCTGGAATCGCAAGTCTACGAGGCTCGTANCCGTTACCATAAGGTGTTGTCCGCGATCTCGCAGGACATGCTTATCAACTTCAGGGATGTTTACATGAACATCCCTGCACAAAACCCGTAGTACGTGCTCAAAGAAGCACTCCTACGTCGTATGCCAACTTCAGAAGATAAGCGCATTCACCTTCTCCTGTCAGGAATCCAATTGGGAAATCTTAAGCCATCCCAGTTGTTGCGTCAAATGCGTGCGTTAGTCGGTAACAACATGCTCGACGACTACGTACTACGCCATGCGTCCAGAGTATTCTGAACGTTTTCACCCACGCCCTTAGCCTAGACCAACTAGCTGAGGCTGCTGACCGAACCATGGAGCAGGCCCAACTTTTTCAGTCCTCAGTGGCAAACATCGGGAGCCCGGAGCTAAACATCGTTCAACAGACGCCCCAACCCTACTCCCGATAAGCTCCCCTACGAGCCCACGACAGGAATGCAGCTTTCGTCTCAGCAGTTGGCCGACCTTCGCTTAGCTATGGCCACTATGTAGACCACAATCAACAATCTGCAGACTGCCCGCCGGACNTCGTTCCCGGTCAAGCAACGGGCGCAGGCGAACCCCATCTAGTGGTGGTCTGCGCTATTACCACGGACGCTTCGGCAGTCAAAATAGAAAGTACGAACCGCTGTGTTTGTGCAAAAAGCAACAGGAAAAAAATGTAGGCCGGCAGGTCACGGCGACTACCTCAACCGGCTCTCCCACCCCTTGTCGCCTTCATTTTATCTACGATAACTCGTCCAAGCGTAGGTTTATGGTAGATACCGGAGCACAAGTCAGAATAATCCCGTTCACTAAACAGGATGCTGCCAACCCAGAAGCACTGACTTTGCAGGCAGCCAACGGTACCCCTATCCAAACCAATTGACAGCGGCTACTGAACTTAGACCTAGGTTTAAGATGCGTCTTACCTTGAGTTTTCGTGGTCGCTCGGATTCCTTACGCCATACTTGACCTAGACATTTTACAGCACCACTATCTAATCGTAGATTCCCTCAGGCGATAGATTAGAGACCCAGTCACTTCTAGAGTAGTCGTCGATTCTCTGGTATATTTGGCAAAGCAGAATATACACCTCCATTTTTCACACGATGATTTGCCATATGCAACGTTATTCCGCGAGTTCCCTAGCCTCGTCCGCCGCAGCATCGAACTGCCAACTATCACGACGGAGGTATCGCGCCACACCGTAACTCGAGGTCCACCGGTCCACGCACGTCCTCGTCGACTGGCACCGGATAAGTTACGCTCCGCACGCGCAAAGTTTCAGCACATGCTGAACATGGGCATCATACGCCCGCCTTAAAGTCTATGGGCGTCCCTTCTACATGTGGTCCCCAAATGTCGTCCAAAGACTAGCGTCCATGTAGAGAACATCGCGCACTCAACCGCGTGACAACCCCAAAAAGGTACTCGATGCCCCACACCACGGATCTCACGTCAGACCTAGCCGGTAGAACTCTTTCCAGTCGCATTGACCTGGTTTGCGCATGCAACCAGATACCGGTAGCAGAAGACGATATCCCCAAAATAGCCGTACTCATACCGTTTAGTCTATTCGAATTCCTCCGCATTCCTCCGAACACAAACAAATCAGGTGGAAACCTAAACTAGGTTTGTCACCCCCTAATCCCTGATGATCTAGGTCCGTCTCTCCATGTCTACCCGTCTGATCCATCCTTATCTCCGTGACACATGCTGACTGGTTAGCAGTTTTCACTGTTCAACTTAGTTCGTTCCGATCTGTCTTCGGTGCGCCATTTTCTGTCGCATATATGTATATATATTTACACTTTTTTCGGGCCTTGACGCATTCCGTATATTCTTTTATAACATGCTGTGTTCCCCCTCATCCCTTCTCAGCTGGGTTCTACCCCAAACTGCTGGGTTTCACCACTTCGTTTCAGACTCGGTTGGTTTGGGCCTGAGGAAGACTTGGGGTCTATACCCACAATGGACAATTTGTCTCCGGCAAGGGTTAATGGGTGCGGTTGTATCCAACGTTTAGACTACATGAGTCCGCATTCCGGACCAGGTTGAAGATCGCACCTCCTGCTTCACCCATAAGGTGTTTTAAGGTTGGGTGTCTAGCGTGTAGTCAGTCCTACATCAAAGCGACCTACGCCTAAATAATATAAATAATACAAACCAAACAAGCCGTTAA